AGGCATTTTTCTGACAGCAGCAAGCGCGTAGAGTGACGTTAGTGAATGAATATTTATGACCTTGGGCAAAAATTACCATTATGTAGAAGTGGGCCACTGAATCAGCGAAGTTGAAGTTATGGCTTCTGGGTGATTTAAATGACATGAAGTCCTGGTCATGAATAAGTTGATCTGAGCCCAGCTAATAGCCGAAATCACGAAAGGAAGCGTGGCCCGTTTGCAGGAAGTAAGAATCATGACGAAGTAGAGACTTTCGAAGAATTCAACAGGTTAGACGAAATGACATAATCAAGGCTGACATAAGATGCGGACTAATTTTTCGACAGCGCAATAACTATAGTCCTCCTTCTAAGGACTCGATTACTGCTTACGATACGTTTTCTCTTCCGTTAAGCATAATGTGACAACTCGCTATATGGGTCCATTTCCTCGTGGCCACAAGGTTGGTAGCCGAATAGTGATGACGGCGCTCCAGCTGTGTATAAATTTTACGACACCAGACAAGTTCCTCTGACCACACATCTGATGTTATATTATTATCAGTTCATGGTTCATTTATAATTTTCTTGGCTTCAACCGTAGGCGAGTTTACATGCACATTCAGCGGAGTTTTAGGAAATTGCCCATATTTGCCAGCTGTGTTTTCTTCTTTGAAAATGGCGCTGGAATTAACTAACTGAACAGGATGATGGAATACACGAAATCCGATGATTTATTTTGCATATTCCCTAGGCTCGTTCGTTTGAATGAACGCTCAGTCTCACTCTGTGGTTGTCGCCGCCTTCTAGTGTATTCATCGGTATATTTTATTACAGAATAGCATCCTTCTGAGCGAGTGAGCCGCTGTGAGATTTGTCTGCATGTGCGGATGAAAGGAACTTTTGTCCGACCATGCAAACTTCATTCTCCATTGTGAATTATCATATAAACACGGCACAAATGATTTTCAAAACGAAATCTCATGCACAGCAAAAGTTCCATCCTCTTCAACGATGGAGTAGCTCTTTAATGCATGCTTTTCTAGTGCTAGAGCCTGTCTGAGCGCTTTCCACCAGGCACCGTCATGTTCGATCCGTTGAAACAACCTTTATCAAGGCTCGAACGGCCTGCCACAATAATTTCAGAGTTGTCTAAATAAATTTATGACTCATTGATGAAGCAACGAGCTTACGTCTGAAGCAGCTAGTTATTTTAGAATGTTCATTCTAATGCTTGTTTTGCCAAAAAATTCAACTTTCCTGTATTGATGGATCAGTTAGAAAGAGTTCCGACGTTTCTTATTTCCTTTTGTTCTATGCGCCCAAAGTTTTGACAAAACAGATGCCTCTATGTCTGTTATAGTTTTCAACTTAGCTTTTTTTTTTGAAATATTCGCTAACCGACACCGTAAGTTTGAAAAAATTTTAAGAGATAAGTTTAATTTTTAGTTTGAAAACAAAGTTCTGAGGACGTTGAACTTGGGCGCAAACGAAATCAGGACCGAAGGGGCTATGATATTAAAAGATGCTCTCATCCGTAACCGGACACTGTTGAAAATCGGATTGCAAAACACGAAATTAAACTGCCAAGGTATTTTTTAATTTGTTATACTCTCAAAAGTTATGAAATATAAGCAGCAGAGAAAATTTTGGGTCTTTCAAGAAATCGCGTGTTTGATATCTTAGAATCATCCTCGTACGATGCTGTACAACCCATTTTCCACGTTGCCGTATATCTTAAATGTGTCAGTGGTACCGTGAAAATCTGATCTTTGAGAGTTTCATAAATCACTTGTGAGGGTACCTGGTCAACGGGTTGGAAGGAGAGGTGCTCATAGATAATATACGGTCAGTAAAACCGACGGATCATTTCTGACTTATTCCATCCGTTGCTGGATGGAAGTCTTTCATGACTTTTCCATAAACTTATACTACCATTCTCATCCATTTTGATCCTACCAACTTCTCCAGCTCATTTTGTTATCGATTTAAAGGTCTTGCAATTGGCAGTTTACTCGCTCTTGTAACCAAATCTAATGCCTCGTTGGTTCAGTGATGTTCGGTTCTTCTTGCAGTATTCGCACCCATTGCCGCTTTAACTTTTTCACTTTTGTTTTGTCCTCACATACTCCTGATTGTGCGTTTTTCCCCATTCATTCATCTTTTTATTTATTTTTTGTTATTCCCAACATACCATTCTGTGAAGGACAGTACAGAATTAAATTTTTAACCAAATTAAACAGAGGTGCAACTGAAAGAAGATTTTAAATTTGACCACAACTTTTAAGTTCAATCTTAAGAGACATCGACAAGAAAGTCAAAACAAATTCAGGTTATAGTTGAAGGTTTAGGTGCTAGTTACAAGAAGATCAGCGTCGTTTCCACCTCTGACCATGTATTTGCCCTGCGCCAGATTGTTGAGAAATCGTGGGAGTACGCGCGTCCTGCGTAGATGTGTTTTGTTGACCTGGAAAAAGCCTATGACGGATCCCACGCAACAGTCTGTGAACACGCCTTCGTGCAAATGGGATAGATGGCCAGCTGCTAAGGGCCGTCCAGTAACTGCATTCATATTCTGATAGCAGGGGCTGCGTCATTGTTAATGGCATTAAGTCGAAAACATTCAACGTTCGCACTGGTCTCCGCCAAGGCTGCGTCCTGCCCGCTATCCTGTTTGTGTTGTACATGGATAGAATAGTCTGGAGCTGCCAAGGCGATGAGTGTATTGTTGTAAGAGATGTGGGGACGACAAGGTGGTTGTTTGCAGACGACCTTGTTTTATTAGCATCTTCGGAAACTGATCTTCAGTGCTCCTTGGAGAGGTTCGTGGCCGGCTTTCGTGTGAACGTATCTGAATCTAATGCTTTCTCATTCTTTTGCCCGTTGCTCTCTTCCGATAACGGAGAGGCAGTGGAGCAGCGGTAGTTGGAGAAGTTCAAGTACCTCGAAATTATATTTACTAGTGATGGAAAATTGGAGAAAGAGATCGACCAGCGAATTGGTGTAGCGATTGGCGTTCTGTGTGAACTAGCCCGACCCATTGTGATTAAAGCAGAGCTCAGTCTGAAAACTAGGCTCTCAATATTATCTTTATCTTTATCCCCATACTTACCTACGGTCATGAATCGTGGGCCATCACTGAAAAACTTCGAACCCGGGTAC